CCTGCATAACTTTGTTGGGTTCAGCATGGTTAGGGTGAAAGATCTTGCTGTGGTATATGCACAATAAAAGAGTACAAAGTGAATGTCACGTGATGTGCTCCAAGAGATGGCACCTGAGACTCGGGTTTTAAAGCCATCTAGACAATAAAGACAACAACATAGCAGAAAGTAATAACATTTGACATGCTGGCATCCTTATAAGAGATGAGAATATCAAGCCATCTGGACAAGAAAACAATAAAATAGCGGAAAGTGAAAATCATGCGATGTTCTCTTATCCTTTTAAGAGACAGAATCTGTTGATGAGTTCGTAAAGCTATCTAGATAACAGAAGTGACTCTGAAAAGATGGTAGAAAGTGAATGCCATGTGATGTGCTCATTCCTTGTCAAGAGACCGAATGTGCGGGTTATATAAAGCTATGTAGACAAAGAGTCTGGTGCACAGCTTTCATAATGTGGAGGGAAATGGCTTTGGAGGCAGAAATCCTACACTACACAGAGAGAGTGGACATAATTTGTAGACACTGCTAAGCATACATGTATTGCCCAGTATTGGGCCGTGCATGCTGTTAGTCCATCACAAGTCCAGTCACAAGTAGCTGGGGGAACATTGAAAAAGGAATGCCTTCGTCATGTTTGTCACACTTTCATTTGATCAGCTTGCATCTTCACTTGAGACTGGATGACCAGCGGCATATCCAGCTTTTGGAAATCAAAAGCCTCATGGTCCGTACATCCTCAGTTTTATTTCATGGTGTTTTTGGCTTTTTTTTTCTTAGAGCCCTGGTGCTAATATTCGATAAATAAAATGTCAGTATTTGATTTAAAATACCCACCGTTGGATATGCTACTGTATCCAGGCTTTTGCTTAGGCGGAGGGTTTTTTCTGTAAAGAGAGTCCAAATTACCATTTTTAAAATGATCCTCACCCCCCCCCGTATTTCTTATTAAAAAAAAATGCAGCTGAACATGTCTCTAGCTCAAATTCTCCCCCCCCCCCGGATGACTTGCAATGGGATGTGATGGACTGGCAGGAACTAGCGAGGACTTATGATGGCCTTGACTATAGCCCCAATATGTAAACATGGTTAATTGCTGAAGGTTTGAGAAGTTGAAAGGTAACCTCCTCGAGGTAGGATGCTTGGTTGCAGACAGTAAGGCCAGTTGCTTTTGATGTGTACATCCTAGTGCAAGTAACTGTAACATGTACCTGTTATTTTTTTGTTTTGTATCAAAAGTTTAATGATTATCCTATAAAATATGACGGCAATTTAAACAAATTCAGTGGTGTTTTAATGGGATTTTAAAAGTGTAACAAAATTCTTATATGTTAACTTTGGTTTTAGTAATATCTTTCTTAATGGCAAATATCAAAATTAGTTCAGAGAATGCATCCTCCTGCAAGTAAACTTGTTGCTAGTGTTCCGGGGTTGGGATTTCCTCACTGACTGCTGAAAACCTGTCAAGAATATCCAAGCACTACATTTGAGTTGCATGTAGCTACAAATTTACCTGCATTGCCATTATCGGCAATTTCAGAGAAACACATGTTCATGTAGCACATTCAGCCAGATGAAAGCAGTCGTTCGGTCTGGACAAACATTGAAGTGCAGTTGTGGAAGGAAGTATTGCATTTCAGGGTTTGGAACATTTCATGTCGAGTGTTCCGGTTTCCACTGAGATGTATTCAGAACAGTAGCAATGTTTTAGCGACATAATATGTATATATGTTCTCAGGCCGTCACATTTGTTGAAAACGGGTAGGTGCTCAAAAGCACAACTGATTGCTGTACATGAAAGCGTAGCTGGAGGTAGTACAGCTTGGGGCAGAAATTTCACGAATTTGGAAAGCAGGATTGGGGCTGAGGGCTGAATCTTTCAAAAAATATTTCGGGCCTCAATGTCTTAGATATTAGCTGAATGCTACATAATGAAATTATAGAGATGCGTTCTCTTTTTCCAGATCACTGCCTTGGTACTGAAAATTTGAGTATGGTATAATGTACAGTTTGGACATATGTGTATATATTGTTCTGACACGTTCGTATCTTTATTTCAGCTGATTTGACCTTGTAATTTGTTGTCATTTTGATAGTGATCCTTTTTAAGGCATTCATCAACTGTTATCAGTGTTGCCATGGTGTATGCCAACTTGTATCTGGCAAATAACACTTCCGTTTCAGTTTCGATTTGAAATAGCTCCTTGCAAATGCATGTGTGTGGGAATATTCATGTTTGTGAACCCCATTAGTCATGCTAGTCTTGATTCCAGACGGGATTTGGGTCACAACACCTTGAACAGGAAGGCTTTGCTAGCAGAGGAGGCGCATGTATAGCTGAAATACATACAAATGGTGTGCGTTTGGGTATCAATAAAAACTCACCATGAATCAACCTTTTAAAGCACCTTGTCATAAATGTAGTGGCTATGGCTATGCTCACCAAAACATACATGTAATTCCCCAATTCTGTAGTTACAGCACTGTGTTATGCATTGCCAATATTTCTTTATTTTCTCAATCATGTCGTAGGCCGATTTGCTGTTGGACATTTTTCTGTGTTTTGGTCAATTTGTACTCCAAGAGAATAATTTTAAAGGTATAGGAAACTAAAGCCAGGGATCCAGTAATTACAGAATGGTCTGGTTCCTGCATCCCTTGCTGCAGATTGTGCCGTAGAAATAGCCAGCAACCAGTTCCATACTTGCAGCTATATGTACCTCGTTTCATAAAGGCTGTGCACAAAGGGGACTTCCAGAGCTACATGTATGTCTATTGTCAGCACAGCCCCGCATATTTCTAGTAGACCTAGACCAAGCTCTAGATAGCCGACGTGGATGTGGCCTAAATTGGTCAAAACAGCTCCGTGTGATAGTTACAGTTATGGCTGGACAGATGGATTCATTTGGTAGCACCTGCAGGCACTTCTCTGAAAGGTGCATGTTACTCTGGCTGTATGCAGCCAGGTACCTGACGACAGACACAGGTTCATGTGTTTTGCCTTACCCATCATTCAAAGCTAGATATCTCTTATAATTTTGTAATAAAATGTGCCAACAGCCATAGTTCTCATCCCTTCAGTTGTTGCATTCCTTGGCAGTTATGCTTTGTGATGATTTATGAGCTTTACGGTAGGCTTAATTCCCAAATTTGCAGTCCCGAGTACTGTAGATGAAACCTGATAACACGCATAACAAAAGGGGGGGGGAAGAGTATGAATGTCATTGTCTATTTCCAGATTTTTTTATTCACCAAGAAATATGGAACACAAATCGAAATTTACAGATATAAAAGTCTGCCAATCGCATCCGGGTTTTTAATTGAAATAATTTGTGGCTGTACACTGCATGCAAATAATCCTGAATTCCTGAAGCAGATGTCCTCTGAATGTAGATAAGAAAAAAATTAACCTACATGTACATGTAATTACATTTGTATTGACAAGTTGCCGTTCGAAATACAGTGCAGTATCTAGGAGGAACTCAAACAAATTCATGTTAAAATAAAACTTTGTTAGAAATGCGCGTCTACATTACATACTATGAAAGGCTGGGATGCTTTTGACAATTACAGTTCGTCTTTTGGTAGAGGTAGTGGGCAGTGAAATGATTGAAGAAAAAAAAATCACACAAAGCAGAGTTTGAACCTCCAAGTTTGTGGGTAATTCCAAAATTAGAGGTCCATTTTTTAATTTCCTTGTCACGTCTGATATATGACAAATAGTGACACTTTGAACACTATTCTGGTGATATTTCCATGTCAAATAACAAAGGTCAGATGTGACAGGGACACAAAACTGTCACACATTTGGACCCCTAATTTCTGGAATTACTCATTTACAAGTGCTCTACCAAACCAGCTACCAAGACACAGTGATGTCTTTAAATCACCCAACAAATCACCATCTTTGTGATGCATGCAGGTGCTCCTGGGCAGGATGAGTTGTAAAAGCAAGTTGGCCGGCACTGGACCTGATCAATCAGTAATAAGCAGTAAGCCTGTCAAATACACCTGTGTTTGCACAGCAAATATTTTCCCCGCACTCTACAAAATTCTGAGTATTGCAACTCTTTAATAGGGCGACACTTGCAGAGTTCAAATTTTTCTCCATTTGAAATTTTGTTTATCATAATATTGATATCAGATACTGTAGATCCACCAGCATTTTATTTTGTTTTAATCAGGTTAATCATCTACATGCACACAAACACCTGTTGTAGCACTCTCCAAACCATCAGTAACAAGCAGAATACTGACAATCTAGTATTACACAGGTTTATGACAGTTCCTTGTCTGAATCATTTCAATATAGTGCCTCCTGCGTACAGCTTTTTGCAAGTGCTTGTGAGCGTATAAAGGATATCTGGAAATAACTTTCCGAATCTTGCTTCCTTAATTTCTGGAATAAGTATAAGAATCTCCCGTTACTAAAATACACAATTACACATCTCCATATAAATATACAATAAAACATCTCATGTGTATTACTTCAGCTGATCGTGAACTCTTGAAAAATAGAAACATCTGGGTTTCATTTAAAATACTTGTACATTTCATGGAAACGCATGTAGAAAGGTTGTTTCCCTGCATTAAGAGATATTCTTAACAGTCCTCATCACTTCAACAAGACTGACATTCAATATACATCAGAGTTGGCACAAAGTCATAACAAGCCAATCACAAGTTATTTTAGATGACATGCTACGCAAGTGAAGAAAGATATTCCTCTGTTACTGTTGACACGTGATGCCACAATGAATGAGATCAGTCCAAACTATGGCACACAGTGAAATGTCAACGTTTACAAATATATCTAAGCAAGAACTGCACCCACCTTTGATACAATCCATTCATTCGGCCTATGGGCCCCCATCTACATTACCAGGTATGCAACTATACGGTATGATGCACGTAT